TTTTTAATAGATGTAAATACAATCAAATTTAAATACACTTTACATTGACAAAATTAAAAACCACATGCTTCTGTCTCTGTAATGCTGTGGTTTGGTTTAACCAGGAAAGCAAGATGGGACAGTTATGAAAGATCTGCTAAAATCTGGTGATATAACATGCATTGTTTTGGTGCTTTGTGACAGAAGGTCCAGTTCACCAAATCTGCTTGGCAACAGGCTCCAGTCCTCATACATGTAGAAGAAAAAGATTTTTTTATTTCAAGTTTTCTGAATTCTGAAGTGACATTTTGATTCTCTATTGCCACCTCATGATAGATTTGTGTTTTGCACCATTGTAGCTATAGTAGAAGTGGTGGCCCTCACAAAGAAGTCACAGAACGTGGGCCACACAAAGGCATAAAGACGTGTGCGTGCGTGTGCGTGTGTGTGTGTGTGTGTCCACATGGCTAGTGGCATGGCTGGATGCAAACAATCCCTCACCATGGCAACACAGCTCTGGCGTTGTCCAAGCCTTATACAGATGACTGGATTGATTGGAGGGAACAGTCTGGGAAAGGAGACCAAACAATCACCAACAATTAAGAAGCAACCCATGCTTTCCTGTCACTTTCTCTTTGTCTCCTCCGGATGAGGTGTGTGAGAAAACATGAAGGGGTGTACTTCAGCAGGGTGTTTCTCAAACTCAGGATTAAGTGAGGTGCTGCTGAAATATCTCAATATTGCACTCTTGGCAGAGATTAACATCAGTGGAGTGGTCATATTGTTTAGCTGACCTCCAATAGGTAAATTTATCTTTCGCTCAAGCCAGCAAAATATATTTTTATATTAAAACAATGCTCTACACAGCCTAAAGTCATCTGCACACAATTATTAATGCTTGTCAAACAGAAAGAGTGAAAAGTCAAATGCTCAGAGCTGAGAGAAGCTGCAGAAGTACTTCATTTACCTCAAACACCTCAGTTACTACACATAACTGTTATACAAATGTGCTCCATAAAGTAAAGTAGTCACACTTGCCATGCAGGAAACTCTGTGGCTGTGCCTAGTCACAGCAGTGTTATGAGCTAAATGCTAATATCAGAGTGCTAACATCCTCAATATAATAATATGCTAACATGCCATTCTTGTTTTTAATCAGGTTTAGTGTTTACCATGTTTATCTAAAAACAAAGTTCAGTTAATATGAATCTCCTTGGTTTCAAAGGTATTTGATTATAAAACAAAGTTGAAAATGTGAAATTTTGACCTGATGGCACTAAATAAAAAGTCAGAGGATTACTTAAATCATAACGGTTCATCCTCTGGGAACAATGAATGTCTTTACTAAATTTCATGACAATGTATCCAGGAGTAGTTGAGATACTTCGGTCTGACTGACAATGTCATCCCTGGAGCCCAGTGGTGGGCCGTGCATTTGGTACCTGGGCCTTCAGTGGGGGCTTACCCGACTTAATTCACCTCTTAATACCACTGTAAGAGCCAATCTGAAAAATGTTTAGTTTACGTAGTTATTAAGAAAACATAGCCAACATAGCTTTATGTTTTGGAATAATAAGTTTGTTTTATACAATGTGCTCTAGACATGTTATGTTATGGCATATTGTTGTTTGTTAACCATGTGACCGGATGTGTTTTTTGTTTTTTGGAAGGTTTGGACGGTCAGGCTCTGAGCACACAGTTTTTCTGACCGAGTTATAAGCAAGTAATTTGTCAACCAGGAAACGTTTTATTTGTATGTTTATTTTTATTTAGTAAACCCTTCGTAAAAACCAAGAACTGGACTGTGGAACTTGTTTATGTCGTGTCACACTTACTGCATAAGACCTGCACCGTAAAGCGGCACTAAAGCAAAGGGGTACCGCTACAACCACCACTGTACGTCGCAATTATAGAAACCATCAATGCTATACAAAAACGCAATGTAATAAAGTGTGGCATTACAGAGAAAGAGGTGTTTCGCGTATTGAGGGTGAATACCGTTTTTACTAAAGCAAAAAACCCAGTTAAGACAACTCCAAACTAATTTCCACATAATGAAAGCAGTGCAGCCAAGAGAAATGCTACAAAATTAAGAGAATAGACTGTTGGGAATAAATTAATACAATTTCGCGGAACAAATATTAGAATTTCGGTTGTAAATCACTATCAGTGCCTCTGATAGTGTTTAGGCCAGCAGAGAAGGCCTTGCTGGCCCTGACGGACAACCACTGCTGGAGCCATGCCACTAGCGAGGCTAAAAATAGCCGCATGAAATGTTAACCTCAGCAGGTGCAAGCCAAACTGAATTGGCATTGGTCTGATCTTAGACTCAAGTACTGACAACATGGAATCACATAGCTATGAGGAAGAAAGGCCAAATCAATAAATTAAATGATGATGACGACAGAGGGAGAAACAGAAGGCTTTGTAACTGTGATCAGGATGTTCAGTTTGGTTTACTTGCCCAAATGGATGGGAAGTTTAGAGAAGTCACAAAGTATACTTTAAGATAATAGCTGAACGATTTTTTTTAAGTAACCAGCAACTGTTTCATAATAAAACAAGAAATCTTTCTGATATAAACTTTATATCTTTACAAATTTTTTTCAGGTCAAAATTAGAAATCATCACCATCACCTTGGGCTTTATGAAAGTGACAGGCATTTCTATAGTTTGACATTTTACAGACCAAAGGATTAACAGATCAAAATGATAATAATAAGCAGATCACAATGTTAATTTGTCGTAATCTAATGGGCACAGCTCAGAACATTGTTACTGTATGTAAAGCATGTACTGTCTTGAAACACTGATATAAAACTGAACACATTAAGACATGGTGCCCATGGCATCAGGGTTTTAAAATTATTCTTCCTCTATGAAAATGGGTGGCATGTTAAGTTGCTAACATCTAAATAACACAAAGAAGAATACATTGTCAGAATAAAAACTTGCAGCCAAATGTTGTTGTGCAAAGGGAATAAACCGCTTTTGTGTTTTATTGTCCTGTGCGCAAGTGACAAATTCTAGTGTTTTTTGTATAGCTGAGAATTTCTACTACAAACACACTATCCGTGAACGAGTTTTGCCATTGTGTCCATCACTTTGTGCAGGTGAACTCGCACACTGACCCTTCATTCACTCACTTCCTGCTGGCTCAAGAATCAGGTATGTTACTCTGTGGGAAGTCCTGTCAGGAACACCGCTGTCACTCCATTTAAGGTTGTACTCCTGTGTGAAATATGAACTACGAGTAAAATAGGGCATTATGTGCCACATTTTATCGGCGCATTGGAGTTTAAATAGGAGAATGAGGGGAAACACGTGAATGAATCTGACCTTGCAAAATAAAGTTATGCAACTTCTGTATTTTCTCTGCTGTTTTCCACATATATAACAAACTTAAATTCACAATGAGCTGATGTAACTGAGGTAATGTAATAGCATACGGCATTGTTTTAAAGCCAGCAGCTTTTAAATGTTCGCTTGACTAACGCTTTCACGCCACAGCAGAAAAATCGACTGCACTCAACCCTGTGTAAAACCTAAAACATACCTCTTCTAGCAAGCCGCAGATCACGGTGTGTCAGAGCATTTAAAATTGTCCTGTTGTGCTGTAGCATCAGTATTTCTCTTTGGCATAAAATCCGTTACTTCCCTCCGAGTGTTATGCGGGCCAGTTGTAGGAGATCCTGTTTATTCCGAGCCTACCCGCGCCTGCACAGTTGCGGTGTGCGCACAACCCCCGCCTTGTCCTGCTCGAATTGTCTCACAGAATGGTACACAGCCCTGGAAACTTCATGAGAAAAGTGCTGGGGAGAAGCTGTGCGCTGCTCTTAAACGGGAGTGGGGCGATTATCCAGACGAACATTAGCAAAAGCGAGCAGTTGGTTGTCACCCATAATGTGTTTTCTCTTGTAGAAGTAAAACACATTGTTTGAAAACACGTCCAAAAAGACACACATCTCATCTTTATCTGACATATCTTAATGTCATTTCTAGTGCGGCGTCTGCTTCGTCTCTTTCTGGTGCACCAAGCAGCAGTGGACTCACTGCCGCCCCCCTGAGGCCGGAGGCCGCTCGTACTTGACGGTCGGTGAAAACCACATGCGTAGTGGGTGTTTTTACCCCAACGAGTGCGTTCTATAATCGAAAACAAATGCCGGCAAGCAGTGACACAAAAGTGAGGTTTGTGCTTTATACAACATGCTTTTAAACTGTATTTTGAGATTTTGCAAGAGAAAAGACTTTAAGGACGAGGACTAGGTTGTTTGTTTTGACAAGGTACGTTTGGTTAGTCGTCCCACACCCGTTAAAGAGCAGCGCACAGGCTATCCCAGCACATTTCTCTGGACTGTCTTGAACAGGGAGCCCCTGCCTCTGTAACAACATGTTTAACACAAGTAATGTAAACGTAGGTCCGCCCGGTTATCCGGTAAGGAGCTTTTAACATCAGCCGCTCTGCTCGTCAGTGAGGGAGACCTTGTTGGAACAAAACTGGGACGCCGCAAAGCATGATGGACCGGAAAAATCTGCACTGGTGATGGGCCACTCATCTGGGATGCAGTCAAGTGTTGGATCCTTCGACTGCATATATTGTTTACTCTGCAGCCACTGCAAAGATTGAACCCACTGAATCTTCAGAATCCCCTTAAGTGTTTTTTTAAGAAGAAAATATAATTTCCACATCATATAAACTAGTCTACTGCATACTGTATGTATATTTTTCAATTCTTTATTTAAAATATACAAGGACCTACTTTAACTGAGTTTATTATTCAACCCAAGACCATGTCTTTTTTGACTGCAAATAAAAGGCACACATTCCCACTGTACATTTTCTTTTTCTGATAGTACATGTAACAGCCAAACAGCTTCTCTTTTCAGTATATTTTTAACATGACCAATGAGAGGCAACTGCACTACAGAGATTTTTTTGAACAGTTACATGCGACAGAGCTGTTTCACTTGAAATTTTTTAATGCATGAGTTTGTCTTTTTTTAAATTATAGTCAACGCTCATGTCTTCATGTCTCACAGTATAAATGGTGACAGGAGCCTGTTGTGCTGATCAGGCAAAGTCACAAATGACCTTACTGCAAGCTTTTCAGTAAACTGTAATTTCAGCACAGCCCAGCTCCCGACATCATAATACAGACCTGCTCAAACTGAAAAAGAGCATTTTTAGTGCACAGCTTTTGACAAATTTAATAAAATCAGTCGCTGATTCTAGTTTATAATTTGATCTTTGCTGCCTTATCAAGCAGCCTCTCATAAACCTATCTTGTAGATAATGTCTTTACACGACTCATAAATTTAATAAAACCCGTATTATGATTCCTTTTCTGGCAAGCTTTAATTTTAATAGCACTCGGTTGTTATACAGATCTACACTGTGTGATTAATTCTCAACATGTTTTGGCTGGTGTGGCAATCAAGCTATGAGAGATCGATGGTTGGAAAAGTATGTAAAGTACTTTGGCCAAAGTACTTTACATAGCCAGAATAAAATCACGATAAAGGGAATGCATCAGGCCCTACTGTCTATTAAAAGCCAAGGCAAATAAGTACATTTTAAGCAAGGATTTAACAGTGGTCAGGTCAGTAGCTGATCTAACATTAAAAGGTAGACTATTCCACAATTTAGGTGCTGCAACAGTAAAAGCACAATCACCCCAGTGTTTATATCTGGCCATAGGAACCTCTAAACGAAACTGGTTTGAAGATCTGAGAGACCTTGTAGGTTAACAGTAGAGTTAACGAATGGAGCAGCAACACCTTTGCCCTTTTGCTATGTAAATACTGCATTTTAGAAATTTGGTCATTAATGTTCAAGCCAAAAACACAGTTTTTAATCTGGTGTTTCACTTTGCCTGATCAGTGAACATCCTTACTTTCCTATGAGTTTGGTTGTACCTGTTTGGGTGAAATCTGGTGTGATTCTTTGCACAATTCCATAAAGTATAAATCAGATCAGAGGTCTAATCAGCACCAGCTCCTAAGTTCAAACTTAGCCTCAAAGCATTCACTAAGTGGAGAGTTAAACACCAAATCAAAACTGGGTTGCACTACACAGACTAGTACTTCGGAGAGATTCTTTTTTATTCCACCCAGTAACTGTCAGGTGTAAATTTTGTGTAGCTATCATAGACAAAACCAACATTAGCTTGCTAATATTTGATCCTTTTCAAATAAAGAGTAAAAGACCTAGACTTAATATGAAACATGCTACACACATCTGACCTGGCACTTGATAAAATGCTATTTAATAAACAGTGTAAGCTGGGATGTTTTTCCAATTATATTTCACAAATAAACAACCTACCTCAGATTACAAAAGCTAATGCCAGTAGCTTCTGCTAAATGACCTCGTAACAAGTGCTAAACATTACCTTAATGCTAATATGTTTTTTTTCACCCCTAAAACTGTAATTTTTCAAAGTTATGTTGTGACACGATGCTGAAGTGACTTCCTCATTAAATAGCTTGTTGTTTCTAACACAGATTATTCATAGCAACAGATTTACACAAATGTAGGAAATTTCTTGTTCAGTGGTGCACCCCAGTTTAGTAAATCACTCGTTTTAACTACATGGTATAAAGAACTGGAGGTTGGTTGTCATATTTACTCTTCTCCTCCTTGATATTCTTGAAATTTGCTCCTGGTAGAACAAACCAAATGTTTCTGACAGCACTGTAGCTCATAGGCTTTCTGCATTTTTTATGTGGATGTGTTGCCATCAAGTCAAGAAGCCAACTGTTGTCAGGATGTACACACTAGAATTATGCTTTTTAATCTGAAAAAGCAGGCAGTATTGACAAGGTTTGACAGATGATTTCAGGATTTAAAGCCTGCAAACACATGCATTAAAAAATTCATCAGTTCTGAACTGATGAAGCCTCTTGGATGAGAGGTGAAACGTCTTCGACCTAGAAATCTCGTCCAGTTGAAGTTTTTTCAGCTTACCATGACCTGGATGACTGAGAATCTGCACAGACATGCTTTTTATTCCTTTTTCCAAACCCTTCAGTATGCTTTCCCTAACCAGCTTTCTCTGAACCAGTCACAACACAACCTCCTTGACCCCAATCAAGTATAAGTGAGGCCATCACTGAACTACTCAGATTTTCAAAAGCTCGCCACACTCCTCACGCTGCCTTCTTTTCCACAGTCTTCATCCTACTTGACCTGTCTGCTAGGTTTAGCACAGACAACCAGCACATACTCCTTGGCTGCACTTCAGACCATGAGATGAGAATTTAACAGAGTATGGTCTTTGTCTACCTGATGATTACATCTCTTTGGCTATGTCTAATATGCTGTAATATGCGCAGTACATGAGCTGTTTGCTCATGTACTGCGCCTGTATTTATCTGTCACTGAATGTCCACTTCATTTTTAAATCATTGACAACCACACAATCACCTTTTTTGTGTCCTTTGTACAGTAGTTATAAACAACAAATGCCTTTTATCTGGTGAGCTCAACAATAGGTGTGTGTATACTATATACTACTCCCCTTTTTAGAGACCGAGCTAGTTTTTAGACATACGAAGCAATAGCTTCTTATCATTGGTTGCATGTGTTATGTTTTCATTTTTTTTCTTTGGTTCACCTTCCCCGCTTTCAGACATCCTTACTTTCTAACTCCAGTTCAGGTGGTTGTATTTGCAGGCTTGTAGCTGCACAACCTTAAGATATTATGTTTTATCTTGCATTGGTCTCAAACTGATTAAACCTTTAAGACCTCCCTGTTCTCCCTCCTCTCTCAAGTAGAATACTCCAAGTTGATGACTGACCATTGAATGTCTGCTGTCAAACGTAAGTATTTTTAATTAGCTGCTTTGACCAGGTCCACTCCTACTCCCCAAGAAGGGGATTAATGCAAACATGCAGAAAACAAAGGCAACAAAATAACTGGGCTGCAGGGGGACATGGCTTCTTTGAAAACAAGGCCAAAGTGTTTTGGCAAAAAGGACAGAGACAATTACTTTTGGTTGGCTCCAGTGCAGCGAGAAATCAAAAAGAGATGGACACACAACACTCTCAGTAACAGAACGGTTTATCAGTGGTAGCTCAAGCAAGATGATTTGTCATTGTGATTTTGCTTTACACAGCAGGCAGGAGTCACTAGATAAAATGCTGTTTATTCATGTCTTTCAGGCAGGTCAGCCAGTACTGAGCTTTTTCTTTGTTCCATTGATTTCCTGGAGTCTTTAATTAGACAGCTTTTTAAACTATGACCATTTCATTCAGTTTGAACATTGGCATCTGATCCAAATTCATGTTGGTTTCTTAAGCTCTTCATAGTCAAGTTGAAATTTACAGGAAGAAAAAATGCACAGCATGTTTTGTAAGTTAAAGGTTCCAAATAATCCATATAGAAAAGTAGAAGAATGACATTTGTTGACTTCATTTCAGATCCCAAATGCTCTCAAGTGATTATCTCAGTGGTAACAGTGCTGACAACCCAGAGACAATGGCTTCAGTGTGAAGTTAAAAAAAAAAAAAGTCACACTGGCCTCCTGTTGGTCTGTTTTCCACTGCTGCAGATCTGTGAAAGATTCCTTTCTTTCTCTCTGTGTATTAAACATGTTCATTCGTTATGTGGCAACCCACTTCACCACCCTCCTTCAGTAGCAAACAAGCCTGTTCTCATATGTGTCAACACCTGTTACCATGGACTATTTTTGACATATATATCATTTCTGCATTTGTCTATAAATATTCTTCAGACTGCAGAGCTACAGTATTTACTGACAAGGAAACGTATTTATCTTGGGCACTTTTGAAAGAAAATTACAAGTATGAACATTTAATTATTTTTATCAACTGCTTTTCTTTAAGGCTGGTCACAATGAAAAATTGGACCAATTCCCAGACCAGCATAATCTGTGGAGAGACAAGTAAGATGTTAAAAGGATTTGACTTTTTCAGCTTTTTCTTTTCTCGTGCCAGAAACAGAGCTTTGAAAATCATGGACTTTGTCAACATAATAGTTCACAAAGTGGGTAGTTCCTCAAATAGAAAGGTTTAGGGTTTAATCTCAGAGCTAAACCACTTTAAACATGTGGGACAGAGAATTCATGAATATGAGAAATACTGAACAAAGTACCACTTTGGGGAAAACTGAATAGAACAAAATGACCAATGAGCAGCTGTTAATACTACACCACTGCCCTCTGCAGGACAAAAGGACAATAAACCTATAGTTTACTTTTTTATTGAACTGAAAAAAGGGGGAGGGGTCTACAGCACATCTGAAAAAAGGGTATTCATATTATTCCTTTTTGATTTTTTTTTAGCATCCTCTGTCCTGTTATACATGTACACAGAAGTCATGAATCATTTGAAATGCACTTCAAATCTGGTTGTCCCTGCTTTTAGATACATAAAATGTTCAACACACTTCAGAAAACAGGAGGAGGAACATTGTATCAGTGCTCAGAAGCTATTTTACGTTCTGTGCACTTGAAGAAAGAGAAGAGTTTTGTCCCAGCACACACAGTCCATGCTCTGTGAAGGCTAGATATGCACATACAGGGAGGATCACAGATACAAAGCTGCAATTGCTTTATGGGATGCTAGAAAATTCAGCCACTGCCTGAAGTCAAGTGAGGCATTTGTAGATTTCCCTACTGGCATTGGCTTCATTAGACAAAATGGATCTCTGGGGGAATTTGGCTGTTTAAATAAAAGATGTGAACAAATCCACCAAGGCTCTGAGGCCGAGTTTCTCATTTGTGAGTATTGGTGCACGGCTTCTTCATCTCTGCAGTGACTCGTGAACCTGAACACCTGTACTTCATTATCCTTTTTTTCCCTATTTCCAATCCCTCTCAACAGTATCATTTGAACATTATTGTTGAAGAATATCAATTTCCATTTCTCCCCCCTTCCTCGGCCTTAAAAGCTTTGTCCAGGAGGGGTGATGTTGCACCCAGTGTCCCGGCACCACCCCCCCTTCAGCTGCACATCAGTGCAGTCCATTCTTCCAAACACCGCAAGGTCAACAGGGTTTCAGGGCCTCAGTCACTGAGAAGCGCGACGACTGAAGCCAAACAGAGGTTTTAGACTAATCTACAGGGAGACCTCATCTTCCACACTTTATTTGCAAATGATTGAATCATTTAATTATGTTTTTATGTTCACCAAGAGCTGTAGAAGTCAGGTTTTTAAATGTAAAAGGTGATTGAACTTACTGAGATTTATTCCTCTTTGGTGATCCTGAGCTAGTTTTTGATCAATGGGTCAGCCTTTTCTCAGGTAACAGAGGGATTAATCCACAGAAGTGCCATTTCATACACTATACTTAGTGTAATGGAAGATTTAGTTCATTATCCATAAACCATTTTCAGTAATGTATATTTTGTAATAGTCATTATTAGGGAAAAAGTGATTAAAGAAGACACTTTACTGTGCAAACATATGAAATATTTGTTGATCAATTCACCAGTGGTGTGAGCTGTTCTCGTGTTGTGTTGTATGTTTTCTTAAACCTTTACAAAAATAATGAACAATAAAGGTTCAAAACGGTTTGTTCCTTTGAGGAAACGACTTTAAAAAAAAAGAGAATCAGCTTGTTGTGTCTCACAGTAGGAAATGAATTGGAGTTTAATGGTTTGTCAAAAAAGCCTTAAATCATCCTTCACAATTTCTTTAGTGTAAATATTTTTTTCATTGTGATTCTTTGTATAATAACTGTCTGACGTGCTTAATAACACAGCAATATTAATTGCCAAGCTGCCACTATAGATTCACATAAATATAAAAGGAATACTTTGAATTTCTTACTTGAATTACTTTTGCTAGAGATGTTCCTCTGTTGTCCTGTTTGTTTTATTATCCATCTGTTTTACTACAACACCTCTCTTTTTGCCAGTAGCCATGTTTGCCCCCGAGCCATTTTAACAAACATCTAGTGAGAGCAATACATTTGAACACAGAAGAAAAACAATTTTAAAGTGATTTCATGAGACTTGTAAGGTAGATGTAGACAGGGTTTACAATGTTTTGTCTGCAACATTGAGGGGAAAAAAAAAACTCCATCTCTTACTAAACTGTGACATCTGTTTACAGGAAAGCAGTGCACTGACTGATTTGGGACCACACGTGCAGATACTGTTGAGATACTATTAATAAGTGCAGTTTGAGATTTAAGGACCTTCGGCTCAGTTTCGTCCAGAGTTCACAGCCTTAGTTGTCCTTGCATTGATGAAATCAGCTTTCTTGTACCCACACTGTTGACAATAAAGAAAGTTTTAATTATGGACTCTATGTTGTAATCCAGAGGGTCTGAAAGCCGATTTGAACCCGTTTTATTTTGGTGCCTCTTAGTGACAGCATCAAAAGTACATGGTGGCAGACAATGCACCCAACTAGTGAATTAAATACTTGACAAATCAGTCCTACAAATGTAATACTGCCAGTAAGCAGTACTGCTTACAGACTTGGTACTGGCTAAATACCGACCAGAGACATTAAAGTGTTTGCCAGAACAACTAGTTTGACAAAATCTCCTGAACCTCTAACATTTCTATGAATATGAACTATTCTGACTTCATGCAGACATCAGCCTAGACTGATTACTATGCTGCCACCATCCTCGGAGAAACCATACTGTACTGTAATGACCCACCTTCTTGTAGGACCCATGGAGGTCAGTGTGTTTCCACATGGTGTGCAGCAGGACGCATGCTGCCTGACCTGCTCTGGTTGGTCCACAACTAGGAAATTGAAAAGTGAAATTACTCTTTCCTATCTACAGAACATGCTGCATATGTAAATGCAGTATAGGTGCATTAAGTATAACTGCACATCCAAGGTTAAAGGAGAGGTGCACCTGCAATAAATCAAGCAAAGCTAGAAGGCACTGTATATTTCCTTTTTTTACAAAGTCTGTGATTTTAGGCTCCTATGTTTACACTGAACTTATTCATAAGAGTGTTACAACGTCCTTCATAAACTCCTGATCATGAAACTGGAAGTTATTCAGTATCATATATGATGTCCTTAATGATGAAAAGTGACTAACCCATTGTCTTTTCTGCTAATGTTGAGGATCTTCGGGAGGGCTCCCCGATTGACGATGGCTCTGATGTTTTGTGAGTCAGTCTGGCTCAGATTAATCAGAATATGACACAGAGAAGCAGTCACCTCAGCGGGTAGGTCAGTGCTGGTGTCGTCGTTTGGCAACATTCCCACCACCTCCGGCAACACTTGCTTGACTTGATGTGTGGAGTTGTAGGTGTGCAAAGTTATAGGTACAGGGGAACAAAAGTATCGGCACATGCATGCTTTGTGGAGAAAACCAATACTCAAAATATCATAATTCAGCTTTGAGTTTCTTGACTTACCAATTTCAGGATGCAGTTCCTGGTAGCGAGAGAGGTTTTTTATTAGAAACAAGACCGTCCTCTTTACATCACTCGCTCCCTCCTGTAACAACTTCCTGACATGTTGAAGACCATTTTCCCGTTGAACAATGGTGAAGGCGATGACTTCAGACATCTGCCACACCACAGAAAATATATTAGATGTATTGTGATTTATTGTGTATTTAAAGCTCTTGATACATGATAACAGCTATGTTTTACAAAGATGTTTTGTAAACAGGGTAAATAGTTTGACAGAGAAGTGATGGTTTTCATTATGGTCAGTTTCTTCCGTTAAACATGTTATCTCCTGCACATTTTGTCAAAGAAATCAAATCTTTGCTGGCTTCACTCTCAAATGCAAAAATAAACACAAAATACATATTTACTGAAAATATTATTGGCTACTTTGACAAAGTAAACAATCTTAAGACATCGCTTTGCATTCTGGTAACTTGTGATGAATATTTTATTATTAATAACTGGTGAGATATTTTATAGTATTAGATAGTATTTTACCCTTTCAGAATCAGAATTACCTGGATCTCCTCTGACCCACAACTAAAAATTTTATCCACATATGCATTGATAAAATCCAGCAGTTCCATCTCTGTGTTGAAACTATCAGAAGGAATATAGCTGAGAGGAAGTTCACATCTATTTCGTCTTACCGCTCCATTTCCAGCTGTGATGTTCTGCAGAGCTCCAACAGCAGCCTCCTGAGAGAAGGGACGCACACTGCGGGCAATCAGTGACAGGTACATCCGGATAGTGATAGGACTCCACAGCCACTCTATGCCACAGGGATTAGCCTTCTCCTCCAGCAGGGGGCTCTGATGCTCCAGATGCTGGGAAGAAACGGTTACGAGCTGCAGCTTTCAGATGAACTCACTTGGTTCATATTGACAGCAAGAGGCAGGAGATTAGCAATGAATAACATTAATTTTCTTGATCTTGTTTTGCTGTTATTGTGTGTGGTGTGGAGGCATTTAAGGTTTACTTAACCGAGAAAGCTTGGTTAAATGTAAATGCCATTTTGCACAATGTAAATTCACGTAATGATAAAGAATCGGCACTGCCTGATGTAGTAATTGAGCAGCTTCAATGCAGATCATTGTTTGAAAGGTCTAACAGGAAAGGCGTTTTTCACTGCAGACAAAGTGAAATGTAAAATGAATTTCCCACACTTTAATTTATAATGGTTACTTCTTAAAAATATATGTACTTATTGTTGTGTAGACTTGGTTTAGAAACAATACTGATGAGAGCAGTGAGTGAACGATGAACTGTAACATTATAGTAACTTTAAAAAACTAAAATGTAGCCGATATAAAAATATTGATTAGATTTCAGCAATACTGAGCTGCTGGCACAGATGTACCTGGCAAAGCAGGATTGTAACATGCATCATGTGCTGTGATGTTTCTCTCCACGCACATTTGAGCAAGAAAAATATGGCTGCTTTATAAGAAGTCGTTTTATGGGTGATTAAACCTGCAGCACGTTTCACAATATCAGTCTCAAATATTATACCTTGAGGACACGTGCGATGCTGTATGAAGGGATTACCTCTGTGATCCTTGCGCTGCGATAAACAAAGCAGCCGACAGGCTTTGGCTTAGGAGCCAGGTTTTGTCGAGACTCTCTGAGATCTTGAGTGAACTTCTTTGGAAGCTCTGCCTCAATCTGATAAGACAGGTTGTGTAGGATGCACGTGCAGTTCTCTGTGGACTTTAGAGCAGATACAACTATAGATTAATATCAAAATATATACACAAACATACATACTGTAGAAACGACATACTAAAGCTTGAATGGAAGTCATAAGTGATGATTTTTCCTTTGCAGTTGAGACACGTCCAAGAAATAGTACTAGTGTGTAAATATGAGAGGTCCTTTAGGAAATAAATAAGCATAAATAAGCAGTTATATGCATACATGCCTGTGAAATACTCACACATATGCATGTGAAATATTCTTACAGTTAAATATGAAACTTGTACATACATATATACAGTATTGTATACATGCAAAATCATGCATATGAACACTGCACATATCCATCCATTATCCACACCACTTATTCCTGAATAGGGTTATGTCAGCCCTGTGATTGACTGGTGGCCTTGTCCAGGGTGTACCCTGCCTCTTGCCCAGTGTCAGCTGGGATTGGCTCCAGCCCCCCGTGACCCTATTCAGGGATAAGTGGTATAGATAATGGATGGATCGACACAATGTGCATTTCCACATGCAGCATGTGCAAGTGTCATACAGTGGTGTGAAAAAGTGTTTGCCCCCTTACTGATTTCTTATCTTTTTGCATGTTTGTCACACTGTAATGTTTCAGATCGTCAAACAAATTTATATATTAGTCAAAGATAACACAAGTAAACACATCATGCAGTTTTTAAATGAAGGTTTTTATTATTAAGGGAAAACAAAATCCAAAACTATAGAGCCCTGTGTGAACAAGTGTTTGCCCCCCTGTCAAAACACTGGTTTATCGCACCTGAGTTCAATTTCTCTTGCCACACCTGTTCGCAATCAAGAAATCACTTAAATAGGACCTGCCTGACAAAGTGAAGTAGACCAAAAGATCCTCAAAAGCTAGACATCATGCCGAGATCCAAAGAAATTCAAAAACAAATGAGAAAGAGAATAATGGAGCTCTATCAGTCCGGAAAAGGTTATAAAGCCATTTCTAAAGCTTTGGGACGGCAGCGAACCACAGTGAGAGCCATTATCCACAAATGGCGAAAACATGGAACAGTGGAGAACCTTCCCAGGAGTGGCCGGCCGACCAAAATTACCCCAAGAGCACAGCGACAACTCATCCAAGAGGTCACAAAAGACCCCACAACAACATCCAAAGAACTGCAGGCCTCACTTGCCTCAGTTAAGGTGAGTGTTCATGACTCCACCATAAGAAAGAGACTGGGCAAAAATGGTTTGCATGGCAGAGTTCCAAGACGAAAACCACTGCTGAGCAAAAAGAACATAAAGGCTCGTCTCAGTTTTGCCAGAAAACATCTTGATGATCCCCAAGACTTTTGGGATAATACTCTGTGGACAGACGAGACAAAAGTTGAACTTTTTGGAAGGTGTGTGTCCCATTATGTGTGGCGTAAAAGTAACACCGCATTTCAGAAAAAGAACATCATACCAACAGTAAAATATGGTGGTGGTAATGGGATGGTCTGGGGCTGTTTTGCTGCTTCAGGCCCTGGAAGACTTGCTGTGATAAATGGAACCATGAATTCTGCTGTGTACCAAAATATCCTGAAGGAGAATGTCCGGCCATCCGTTTGTGACCTCAAGCTGAAGCGAACTTGGGTTCTGCAGCAGGACAATGATCCAAAGCACACCAGCAAGTCCACTTCTGAATGGCTGAAGAAAAACAAAATGAAGACTTTGGAGTGGCCTAGTCAAAGTCCTGACCTGAATCCAATTGAGATGCTGTGGCATGACCTTAAAAAATGCTTGATTGCAGTTGTTGCTGCTAAGGGTGGCCCAACCAGTTATTAGGTTTAGGGGGCAAACACTTGTTCACACAGGGCTATATAGTTTTGGATTTTGTTTTCCCTTAATAATAAAAACCTTCATTTAAAAACTGCATGATGTGTTTACTTGTGTTATCTTTGACTAATATATAAATTTGTTTGACGATCTGAAACATTACAGTGTGACAAACATGCAAAAAGATAAATCAGTAAGGGGGCAAACACTTTTTCACACCACTGTATTTCACATGTACATATGTGAGTATTTCACAGCTGTCTATGTGAACAACTGCTTATTGATTTCCTACGGGGCCCCTCATATGCAACACATGACAAAAAATACAAAATAAAAATTTTTTTAAAAAGTGCAGACGAAAAACTTCCTACTTGTGAATTTGTAACAAGTTACACTTTAGCTCCAAATGCCAAGCAGTTTGTTGTGGAACAGACTGAAGATAAACATTTTCTCTGGAATGCTTATCATTTTCATTTCACCTTGTCATCTGTCTTATAGTCAGCAATGGTTCCTCGGATGTAGTAGACCAGAGAGTCTATAAGATTCTCACACTCTCTCATTGCTTTCCTGCTATATGGACTAGCAGAGCTGAGATTTCTAGAAACAAACACAGGCAAAACAATTATGGAATGTGACATTTTTGTGTGTTTCACTCAGATAAGCAGTTTTCTGCCCCACTGAACCATATTAGTAAATTCAGTAATGCTAATAATGAAGATTTCCCAGATCATAACATCAACTGAAACATCAAGTACCCTTCTGTTTACTAAGCTATTGCATGAGTTAATAGATGCACAATTTGGGATCTCTTCCCAAAGCCGGCAGCAATCATGACAAATTATTTCACACATTACCAAAGAATGTTTATGTAATCCAAATTTCCATGGAAAACAAACAATTAACATTCAAACTCCACACAACAGCATCTTTCTGTAGTGATGAAATATGAATCAGAGATAAAGTCTTTTTTACAGAGCTGAAAGGGGTTGAGAACATGATAAGGAGAACTTGATAACATTGGGCCAATGACAACTGAGTGATTTCAGTTCAGCAAAGCAGAAAGAAGAGAGAGCTCGATGAATAATTCAGTCTTTCACTGTTTTCATCTGGCTATAGTTGCCAGGGGAGCAGTGGATCTGATATCTCCTGCTTTGTAAACACAGAGATGATACATGTCCAAACAAGAATTTGTTCTGTTACAAACCAACAATATGATGATACGTAATCTTAGACAACAACAGATACATTGTGATTTAACACAATACTATGACAGTATATTTGGTGTCAAAAGATGTATTCACTTCTCTTGCATTTAACGCATTAATGCATTTCAGAAGACTTGTTTTTAAACCATGCTAAATATTGGACACTTTTCATAAAGTGAAATGTTTACAATGCAGAGTCAGACCCACTACATAAACATAAGCATGCCAACATTATTATTTACCTCAAGTACAGCATCACACCTGCTGGCATAGCTGAACATGCTTCAACTGTCCTGCTGTTTGTTTTCTTCTTCAATTCTTTTTATTGACTGACAACAAAATTTACTTAAGTCAAAAAGGGCTGTTGCCCTTTCCACAGAAATACAGTCAGTGTTTCCTAGTTATTTCAGCAGAATTCAATGTTGACAGACTGATAATGTGGATGGCTGATGACTCTTGCCCTTTGTAATAAAAATAAAAATTATTGCTTTATGCTGGACAGTGGCCAAACATGGGCTCCACTGTGTTGCGCATTCATTGCTTGTAAACCTTTATCTTTGTGCACCTGTCTCTCCATACGTGCCACAGTATAGTCAATATTCCTTAAGGATTTGATTTCCAGCAAAGTGAAAGAATATTTCTGCTGAACTTTTGAAATTCTGTATGGTATTTCACATAAGCTGATTATCTGATACCAGTAGTGGTGTCCGTTTACTTTAATTAATAATCTACACTCCAAAAGCTGTCCAAGTATCTCGTTTCAAAGCGAACAAAGAAGCCTACCGCAGGCAGCCTGTAGCATGGTAGAAAACATCAGCATCAGCTAGGAACTCGTCTTTTGGGTTCTCGCCTTCAGAAATGCCTGAACTGGGCACCAGAACTGACTGGGTGAGGATAGACAAGGCTTCCCTGGAGAGGCGCTCCTTTAAAAGGTCATGAGAGGAGAGGTTCCACAAAAGACCTAGGGACCAGATGGGAATAAAAATATTTATCTTAATTTTAGCTAAACTCAAGGCCTTAAAAACAGTACGTGTCCATGCTGAAGAATCCATGTATGTGTCCATGACTGAGAATCAGCACAGACAGTATGTGTCCATGTAAAAGACATAAACCCAGTGGGAATAACAGAGTTTCCAAACCATGCAGTGATCATATATCAAAAGACATCATGGGTTTAAATATTCCATTTATTTAGCCAAGTCCAAAACTAACCAGTAAGCTGCTGTCTGGTCTCCACATCACGACTGCTTTTCAGTGCACCTAAAATGATGGCCAGGCCATCACCCTCCTCCACCTCCATCTTATTTTCACTGCTCTGGTAAACAACATTACGCAGAGCCCCAGCAGCGACACACTGCACCTCCTCACTGTCATTGTGGAGTAGCTGGAGGAGCCTCCCAATCCCATGGAGATAGGACACCTTGAAACAAGGGGTGGGGATTTATTGGCAGACATAAAATAACTTGTACGACTTGACAGCCATGGCTAACAACATGAAAGGACTGTTAACACTCCCATAACCACAGCCAAAGTAGATTAGCTGTGTTATTGTTCCTGCAAAGCATATCTTGGAATTGCACTTCAAGAAATTTTAACCAGGACAGTGTCAACATTACAATGTAAAAATTGTACACCTGTTCATGAGAAGTTTGCATGTTCTCCCCATGTTTGTGTGGGTTTCCTTCCACCCGAAATAGTAGGATGAATTAAAAATACAAATTTCATTCACTTGGTTTGGATCCGTTGAAATGTGGTCATTAACCTACTACAAACGTTTTACAGTCCTCTAGATCTTGTTTCATTATCTTGTCTGTTGAGGTACTAGCTTAAGATCTGCTTAACTCTTTCAAAACAGTCCAGTTCAGAAAATTAATGTCTTTTGCTACAACAATCAGGGGTTAAATTGATTCATATAACTGTAGAATAGAATAGAATAGAATAGAGAGAGAGAGATACAAGAGTTTTAATTACTCCCTCACACAAAACTCAAATTCTCAACAGTAAACAAATTTGAATCCTGTCTGTGTGTTTCTGTATTTCAGAGGTAAAGCTTGGGTTTAACGCTTTAACTGTGAACAAATTCTATTTTGAACCACTATATAATGCATATGATTGTTATATGTACCGTCTTTCTGGCCTTGCTGCTCTTGAAACACTGATTTTGTATGACGCTGGCTGCACAAACCAGTGTTTCCTCATCATCCTGGGTCAACAGGTTCACAGCCTTCTCCAACGTCATCTCTGAAGGCTTGCTCTCTGACTTCCTGTGTGAGGAAGACATCCATGAATTCAAATATATTGTACCAATCTGCTCATGGACAACACAAAAACACATTAAATTATTAAATGTACAAAGTGAGAAATGTACGTAACCAAACACACAGTCTTACAGTGCCATGCCATTTTGCACCTGCATCTGGTGAATGGAGTGTTCTACTTGCATCTGCCTCCCTGTGTCCACTTCCACGCTGGTGACCGACGGTGGGTATGAATGCAGTCTGCGGAGCCGCTGCCCATTCCCCTTGACCTGAGCCAACCGGGGCAGCCCTTCATCTGGCTGGACAGCACCAAGCATCATATCACTGTGTCCCTGCACAGTGTGTTTCTCCTGTCTGGCAACAGTTTGGTTATGACTCCGGGGAGAAAAATATTCACAATTTTGCTGGAGTGCTGCACTTGCAAACACAGGTTGTGGCCCTGACATCTGTCTCAGCATCCTTGGACGGATGACCCCATGCATAGAGGCAGATGTGTGCAGCTGTGTGCCTCGAGGCATCTCTGAGAAGGCGTAGCGCCTAAATACATCAGAACCAGATGATTGGTCCAGCACAGTGCCCACCCTGTGTGACTGACTGGGCTCAGGGACAATGTATGTCCCATAATGCAGGGTATTATAATTAAAGCGACAGCGAGGGCTCTCTGGGCTCTGTGATGGAGACACTTCCACCCTCCTGGATGGGCCCCGCACATGGTTGCTTGAAAGGGAGCGGTTGGTGTAACGCAACTCATTTACCTTTAAATAAAGAAACACAATTATTCTGTTAGTGCTCTCACAGCAACTGTGAGGACTTTACATATGTGACATAGTCCAAAATAGACAGCACTGAACACTAATTATATTTTATTGTGGTCTTTGAAGGTTGTTGTGATGCCTTGTACAGTTAATGAGTAATACAAAGCATTATATTAACTAAGCAAATTCTACAGTGTGAGTGCAAGTGTGCTTTAAACAAACATCTGTGAATTATACTAAGATTACACTATAGACAAGCATTTTTACGAAATGCAATATGGTACATTTGTCTAAATCTATATGGAGCCTGAAACTGACAGAATGTAGTTGAAAGCTATTAGACGTGGAAAATATAACTGAATGCAGAAAAAAAATAATAAATAATGTTGTCAAATGATAACTTTGTTTTTTTAACCTGGTGTATTTCACCAAAAAGTGTCTCTATAGCTAGTGCTAATTTTGCTTTCACTACCCCCACTGTAGAGATTCAAGAAAACAAAAAGTAGCATTAAACGGCCGCACCAGGCCACAGAGAGAGCTCGGAATAAGCGGGCTTTCAGTCAAATCATTTCTCATGCTCATCTTTGAGTCAGAAGAAAAAAACAACAATTAGAGCAAAGGATGATCACCCAGTAATCAAGTCAAGCAGCATGCTGAGCTGGATATTCTTGTACAGGATGTTCTTATGCAGTTATCTGTAACAGCTACCCCAGATGGCAGCCCAAATATTCCAGGTATTGTATCTGCTTTCCGTCTGACTCAGAGAGAAGCGTGAGAAATGATTTAATTGAAATCATGTTTATTCTGAGCTTTCTTGAAGGATAACCGATCTTTTAACACAACTCTCCATTTCGCTTGAATCGCCACAATGAAGGTAGTGAAAGTAAAATTAACACTAGCTATATAATCCATATACCCACTTTCAGAGGAAAAAGCAAGTAAAAAAAAAAAAGTTATCCTTTAGATAATTTAAATGAGTGTAAAATGCTGCATTAACCTCCAACCAGCTATTTCATAAAAAAGCAAAAGCTTTTCTAATGTACTCTGTGTATTACATTATGTTTTCATGCAGCCAATTTTATAAACTAATTAGAAGTAAATGAAGTACCACTTTATTTTAGCACTAATCTTTTGACAAAAATTACAATTACTTTCAGGGCTCCACACACCTAGAGCAAACAGCATAAAACCATCATAAGTCTGAATGTTGAACTGAATGTTAAAATACAGTGATGGCTCTCAACATAAAGCCATTTGACTACATTCAAATTCTGGAGTATAATATTCAAAGTGCTGCATGATATGTTGATTAGAATTTTAGTAAAAACTGCAAATAGATAAATCTTTCATTAACACATCAAGAAGATGATACATGTCATAAAACTGGTTGTGTGTGCGTCTGGGCATGCATGAGAGTCCCTTACCTTTATGTTTGATAGAAGTCCGTCTGTAGCATCAAAGCTCTTTGCATTTTTTCTCACTGAATGGACACTGCCTGAAACATGTCAAAGAGCTTTTGTCGGTTTACAGTTTCACACTATAATTACCTAATTCACAGAAATACTTCCTTGGGTCAGGGGCGTCAATCTGGCTGCCTGAGCCAAGAAAGTAGTGTACACAGTCACAGTGCTGCATGCGTCTTTGTAAAACCAGGGCAAATCAAACGTCTTGTTAATTTCTACTGAGAGATTAATGAGAGGAAGGCAAACGGAGGAACAGGAAAGCAGAGAAGTGAGATGAAACGGACTCCCCCATGACTTTTTAAACCAAACAATTAGTTGAGAAAAATAATCAGAAGCTTAGATGATGACAGTAACAAGTCGCACCTCTATTAAAATGAACACATGTAACACATTTTGCTCCTGAATAATTTGACTCAGAATTCATTAAACTTAAAAAAAAAAAATCTTTTCACCCTTGTCTCTCTCTCTGAGGAATCCTTCCATTTGAAAATAGTACTTCCTACTTTGTAAACAAACACACCAAACCACCTTGTATAAATATATATATGTAGTATAATAGGCCTATTAATAAGCAATGGCAACTGGAATGAAATCAGTGCTGTGGTGAAAATATTCTGATTATTCCTGGTTGATGACTGACTGGAGTTCACAGCTGACACACTGCTGTTGAGGTTACAAGTACATAATAAACAGTCCTGTCGGTGAGATGTTACGTTCAAGCTCTGTCAGCCGTCATCACCCTTTAAGTGGATGGATGAAACTGCAGAAACCTGTTGGACAAAGGAAATACTATTGTGTGCAACATGCATTCCAGTCACAAAACAATGCCTGTATCCAAAGGACAGTAGGCCAAACCAGACAGAGAAGGTCCAGGGGGACCAGGGACCCAGGGTGGTTACAAGATACCAGAGGGGACAACCCCCCCCCACCAAAGAAAAATTGTTCCGCTACTCAAATTTAATACTAATACTTATTTTCTTGTGAAATTATTTTTTTTACCACTTCAGGCCTCTACAACTTCAAATAAAACCATCTGAGAAGCTGTTTGGTTGAACTACCCACAATTCACACACATACTCAACCAGCGAGGAAGCAGACAATGTTTCACTTAATCAAGTCACCAAACAAAAATGCTGGGAACTCCGTATGAATAGTGGGAGGAAACCAATGCCCCTATGCCCAAGTGGCCTGAGGATACCTGTGCGAAATCTCTGAAAGCCTTTTGTGTGGCGCTGTGGCACGTACGTTGAGCCATGCATCAACCATAATCAAAGAGGAAAACTTGAAATGTTACCATTTAACACAGCCTTTTTCGACCTCCGTGCCAGTGTGAGCTGAACTTGCTGGTGAACACGCCGACTCCGCTCGTTTGAACCGAGTTTGGTTGAGGATCGTGTGGTCGGCAGAGCTAGACTCGTGTCATCCAGCACAAAAGCCTCCTGCGCAGGTAACGCTGATTTCAAAAACACCTCCTCCATCTTAAACAACTCCAAATTCGCTCAGAGTCGAGATCCTTTCATTTGACTTGAGAATATATACCTGGACGAGATGATTAATCCTGCTTTATTGTCTCTCTGATCGCTCAGGTGGGCCGACCAACGTCCTGCCTCTGGGGAGGGCGGGGCTACAGACGGCGCACCTGAGGTGTCAGGTGTCTGCGGGGTGGTGCTGCTTTAACGTTACTTTTCACTATTACAATCAGGGTGATATATAAGTACTTTTACTCAAGTACTGTTCTTAATTTTGTCTTGTAGGCTACTTTAAGTGATCCCCTACATTTCCTGCTACACTGCACCGCACAGGCATCCAACAGAAGTAGTGTTTCCACCCAAGTAATAGTCTGGCTCATAACGTAACCAACTATCTTGTTTTTATTGGACAGATATAAGAACTAAAATGTCAGACTAGCCCTTAAAATTTGATCCACCTTGACCAGATACCTTTATTTAAATAAGGTTTTGGAAGCATGATTTTACTTGAACTAGAGTGGTCCCTCATGGACTAGTGACTAGGATTCAGTGTTCTCGCCACTGCGGCCCGGGTTCGAGTCAGTGTTGTGTCAGGAAGGACATCCGGCGTAAAACGTGCCAAATGTCAACACTGACGATTCGCTGTGGCGACCCCTAACAGGAAAAGCCGAAAGTGACATTCATTCATAGAGTATTATTACTCTGTGGCATTACTACTTAGAATCTGTCTAAATACTTCTCCAACCCATTATTGCTTTTTCATAAACACAGCAAGTACCCATACTGATTTATGAATCAATCCTTCCTTAAGATTTTGCAGAACAATAGCTTTGGTGCCCCTCCACAGGGATGATTATGTAATCGAATTTTGCCTATTATATCAGCAATCTTCCACTAAGGACTGAAGCACCACCTACCTTGGCTGGAGTTAAAAGGGGAAATTGGTGTTGGGCCTGCTGAGGCAGGTGTGTTTTCCAGGGAACAGAGCCATCATCAGTATTTACACAAGTTGTTAAGTGTAACTAGAACAAGGTTTAGAGCCATAAATTTGATCAGAAACAACTAATTGACATTTGTGGGAATGTTTTTATTTGGCTGAAGGCATCCACATTTGGGTCTTCATCCGGTAGGTAGCTGCTCCACCTGTTTTTTTTTATCTTAGGTGAGAAAAAACACCAAACTTCTATTCTTCTCTATTGTTAAGTTATAAAAATGTGCCGTTATGTTACTTCCAAACAAACCCGGATTACTAGGATAAGCTGCCCTGTTCTGCATTAGACTCTGGAATCCCAGACTTGCAGTGCAGGTTTATGCGACTGTCATCTGATACCCTGCAAACTGTCTGACCCTAAAAATGTCAGCCAATAAATGTGTAACATTACAGATGCTAATCCCTGTTGAGAATGGGGGTGGAGGTGGGAAGTGGCTGACATTTTTACCCTTGGGACTAAAAAGTCCAATTCTATTAATACACTACACATTCCAATGTTTTCTTTTTCACTTGAACAAACCAAAACCATCCGAATCAAATATAATAGCTCACTAGCTGCTCAACCTCTTGTTGATGCGCCTTCTTCTTGAAACAAAGGCACTCAATATGGAGTAGGCTAATCATAATATTCATAATCATGCTATTTTGACTCCTGTTGCCTATTAATAAATGAAAATGTAACAACAGTGATAAGGTTTCCCCTTTAATCTCAGTCTGTAGAACAATCTTTCCAGTTCAGTTCTTTAAATCACTTTCACATTAAACTTTTTTGTGCATAATATTCATGAACAAAGTCATTCGTTTTCTTTGAGGAAATGTGCCAGACACATCCTTATGATGTTACAGTGTGTTCAGCTGACATTCAATGTGCCCAAATCCACAAAACATTTAGCAGTGGATGCTCATGTCCAGGCTGTCTTACATTTTTGGGTTTGTGCTCACACATTTTTATTGTGGGATTCCTGTCCTCACTGTTATGCTTTACCCATAAGAGGATCAGTTACAGATCAACAAAGCAAGCTGACATTAAGCTGTAAAACATCAGGTTTAATAGGTTTAACTTAAATTTTTGTTGATTTGGACTGTAGTTTGAGATAGTCCTATATGCTCAGTTACATAAGAAGTGAACTGTAAAAGAGTATGGGGTGAAACATAAGTGACTAGTTATAGTTTCAAAAATGGAGGACGTAGTCTCTAAAAACACACACATTCCACATTATAAATGATTATATTCTGAAATAACTGATGAATTTAATCAATGTTGAAGATATTTTTAGCAAAGTTGCTGACTTACTAGTTTTTTTTATAACAGGACATCAAAAACAGTTCCATCTGAACACTGACGCATTTTCAATTTGGCACATCGTTCAGCCCAGCATGAACACTTAAAATATTTACACATATTCAGAGGTTGATATGGTTGGAGTCCTTATTTTACCCATCAAACAAGGTTGCAAAATTATGATGCTATAGAGACGTTATCACACTTTCGCCCCAAGGAAGCGGAGGGAAAGCATAGTTTTAAGAATGAGATGAGTCTGCGGTGAATACAAAGACTTCAAATGGGAGATATAAAGCAAAATTAGAATTACATAACAAAATAAAGATTTGTGGTTGTCAGAATTTTTTCACTCAAAGTTCCAACACATTCCTCTGGTCATTTTATTTTTATGTTCTAAAGCTGCAGTTGTATATCTTTATTTAAAACATACTTATGTCATAATTTATATCTGCTGATTAGGTAAACAGGATATACATATATTCTGGGGGTGGGTTAACACCTCTAAAATTTTGAGGATTCTTCCTGCATTTTTTGAATTAACCACATTTTGAAATTTTATGTCTACATGTCCTAAACCCTCTCATTCTGAAATGTAACTCTTGGTTCATTATGGACAACCGCATGAAAATTAACCAAACAATTTAAATTGTTTTACTTGAACCATCTCTGTTTCAAACTAAAACTCAAACAAACCAACTTTCATATCCTAAATGCCATTGATAAAAACATCCTGTATTGTAATACAAGTTTTATCCTGCCCTTGTTAAAAATGTTTAAAATAAAAAGAGAATTTTTTTTTACAGATTCATTCATTGTCAAACACATTTTCAACATCTCTCTTCCAAGCTATTTACAAAGCTCTGTATGGTTATTAGTCGTCATTCAGCTGTCGACACAGGAGAAAGTCTCTTGTTTTCAGTGAGGGTTGGATGAATAAGCAAACCAGTGATCTGAAATGTGACATTTTACCATCTGAGGTGTAGTAATTTCATCGTGTCCTGGTATTTATGACTAAGTTGGAGGAGGGTGCCTTTAATTCAGACTTGGACAAATGATCCCATTGGATTTGTACATGTCTTAAACCTCATGACACTCCCACAATTTTGATTGTTTAGACAGTAACCAAAAAAAAAAAAAAAAAAAATTTCAAAAATATTACATT